AGTTGCAGGAAGGACCACTGTTTGCTTCCACTGCCTGGACCCTGATATAAGTGAGCCAGTCTTTCAGGGCCACTTGGCCTTGGTAGGTGGTTGCAACTGACTTAAGACTGAAAACTTTCCTAAGGTCAACCTAAGGCCAGGGAATGGCCAAAGACCCCACTGGAAGATCCAAGAACGTCAAACCCATGCATACAAAAAGCCACTTAAATTGGCATGTCAGTGAAGAAGCCCTCAAATTAAAAAAAACTGAATATGATATGTCTATTTCTAATTAATAGTGACCCTACTGGACTAGGTAGAACTGTCCCATGCAGTTCCCAGGCAGTTATCTGTATAGAAGCAGACTGCCACATGTCATACAGTGGCTAGTGGGTTCAAATGACTAGTCTTTGGTTAGCAGCTGAGTGCTTAACCTCTGCACCACCAGGATGATGAGTGAAGAAGACAGAGGGTCTCAAAGACCCTCAGAGTCTATCTGCCAGGTGACTCAGATCCTTGTGCCGGCTGATTTGTCCTGCCATCACAACTCTGCTCCACAAGTCTGCTCTGATATGTTTGCACTTAGGATGTGTCAGCCTCCAGCTGGGCTCTGTGGACCCCATACCCCAGGTCGCTCATTGGAGTTTGTGTTTGAAATCCATTTCTGACCTTGGATGAGTCACCCCCACCTCTGTGGCTCCGTTTTTCCATGTGTAAAGTGGCAAGTGCTCTCTATCTGAACCAGACTTATGGACGATTAGGAGACTGCGCCCATGGTATGGCTGGTGTGCCCATTTGTGCAGTCAGGTTCTGCTGTCGGAGAATAGTGGGGATGAGAATTCTATCACTCCCCGGCTTATGATTTCTAGCTGGGAAGATGGATGTGACAACCAGCTTGGTGATAGTTCGGCACTGTCTAAAACATAGCCCATTGGATATCCGTATGTTTTTCTCCCAGGGTATAAAATGGGCCCGTTACTCTGCTCTTCCTGGTTGATGTAGAAATTCAGTCACATGGCCTCTGCATCTCGGGCTTCCTGCTCTTCCCATATCTACAGTGCCCAGCCCCAGATAGGGCTGTGCAGGGAGGCTGCTCAGGAAAGGATTTTATAAACTGGGTTGTACAGGACTAACTGGGAGGTTTGGGTACCTAGTCAGCCAGTCAATCCAGCTCGGCTACAGGTCTAATCTCTGCCCTAGGCATCATTGTTACTTCCACCGCTTGCAGGTCCCTGGTGAGGGGAATTGCTATGCTATACCCACTTCCCTTGCTGGTTCCCAGGGCTGCTCCAACTCTCCCTTATCAAGGAGATTACCCAAGAACATGGGGCTGTGGGAGGAGGAACACAGGCTTCTAGCAGGCAGAGGTGGCCCCTCAGATACCCTGGGAAGGGACCTTGAAGGACAGGGCCTTGGAAAAGGGGAGGCAGAAGGATGAATAAGTAAGTAGGCGAGTCGGAGGAGAAAGGACAGGAGGATTGTTGGTCAGTACAGGAGAAGTGATAGACGGGGTGAAAAAGTTAGTCCACTGTTAATCAAAATACTGAAAATATAACATAATGTCAGATTTAGTTTGTTAAAAATCCAAAATGTAACAGCCCCCACCCTTGCAGTAAAAATCCCATTAAAATTAATCCGTAGGAATGTCCTAACTCAGAAAGAGGGAAGCAAGGCCATTTAGATAAACAGTGCAGCCTTAGACCTCAGGGATGGCAGTGGAACAACCCTTGGAGAAACAGATACCATTGGTGGTCTGATAACCCCTGGAGAAGTGTAGCTGTCCTGTGAAGCCTGGATCTTTTCTCGCATTGTTTGGGGTCCTGTGATCATTGCAAAACCTGCTAATCATCAATTCCAGCAATCTTTGTAAGACCTGGTTTTTGCTACATAGTTTAAGGTATACAATTGCTTGATTTTCACTGGATTCTTAAATCATTTTGGCAGCAGCAAACCCCAGTTTCCTTCTGCCTAGTGCCTACAGAAATAAACCTAAGAGTTCCTTGAGTCAACCTGGTCTTTCTGTCTTTGGCTGGAATGGTGATAGGCAATCCTAGACCCTTGCTTCCCAGCAACAGAACCTTCACCCAGCTGGGCAATGCCTATTTTACCAAGGAGAAATGGAGACCTACTGAGAAATGGGTGTTAATCAAAACAAGGCTCACAAAACCCTTGAGGCATGTTGGCTAAGCTATTGAATAAAAGGGGCATGGTTTACTGGCGCCTCAATCACCATTACCTCCTGACCATAGAGATTAGGGAGAAATAGTTCTCCTAGTTTGAATTAGCATGGAGACCTGATGGCATAGTGGTTATGTGTTGGGCTGTGATTCTCATGGGGGCAGTGGCTCCAGAGAAGAAAGACTGGGATTTCTCCTCCCATCCATGAATCAGCACCGAGAGTTCTGGAGGAGAATGCAGCATGCCTTGGACTGGGGCTCTTCTGCCCTCAGAAGGCCTGAGACCACTGAGGGAGGACCTTTGCTGGCTCGAAACCC